CCCCCCCCCCCCCCCCCCCCCCCCCCCCCCCCCCCCCCCTGCAGGGCGGAGCCCATCCCCGGATGCTCCTTCACCTTCCTCAGTGTGGCCCAGAGGATGCAGGAGCGAGCCCGAAGGAGGGAGGCTTTCCTCATCAACCCGGCAGTCGGGGTAAATAATAATAATAACAATAATAATAATAATAAATGTTATTTTAAAAAGCGGCAGTCGGGGTAAATAATAATAATTTATGTTATTTTATAAAAGCGGCAGTCGGGGTAAATAATAATAATAATTATAAATGTAATTTTTAAAAAGCAGCAGTTGGGGTAAATAATAATAATAATAATACATTTTATTTTTAAAAAGCGGCAGTTGGGGTAAATAATAATAATAATAATAATAATAATAATGACAATTAATTTTATTTTTAAAAAGCAGCAGTAGGGGTAAATAATAATAATAATATTAATAATAATAATAATAATAATAATAATAATAATAATAATACATTTTATTTTTAAAAAGCGGCAGTTGGGGTAAACAATAATAATAATGATAATAATGACAATGAATTTTATTTTTTAAAAGTGGCATTCGGGGTAAATAATAATAACAATAATAATAATAATAATAATAATAATAATAATAAATGTTATTTTAAAAAGCGGCAGTCGGGGTAAATAATAATAATAGTAATAATAATAATGTATGTTATTTTAAAAAAGCGGCAGTCAGGGTAAATAATAATAATAACAATAATAATAATAATAGTAAATGTTATTTTTAAAAAGCGGCAGTCGGTGTAAATGATGATAATAACAATAATAATAATAATAATAGTAAATGTTATTTTTAAAAAGCGGCAGTCGGTGTAAATGATGATAATAATAATAATAATAATAATAATAATAATGATAATAATAATAAATGTTATTTTTAAAAATTTGACTATATGTGCTCAGCCGGAGGCCGTCAGCGGCTCCTCCAGGATGAAGGGAGGCAGCGCCACCAAGATCCTGCTGGAGGTCGTGCTGTCGGCCGCGCACGCCACCGCCGCCACTAAGCAGTAAGCAGGAACCCTTAGGAACCCTTAGGAACCCTTAGGAACCCTTATGAACCCTTAGGAACCCTTATGAACGCTTATGAACCCTTATGAACCCTTATGAACGCTTATGAACGCTTATGAACCCTTAGGAATCCTTAGGAACTCTTATGAACGCTTATGAACCCTTAGGAACCCTTAGGAACCCTTATGAACCCTTATGAACGCTTATGAACGCTTATGAACCCTTAGGAATCCTTAGGAACTCTTATGAACCCTTATGAACCCTTAGGAACCCTTATGAACCCTTATGAACCTTTATAAACCTTTATGAACCCTTATTAACCCTTATTAACCCTTATGAACCCTTATGAACCCTTATGAACGCTTATGAACCCTTATGCACCCTTATGAACCCTTATGAACGCTTATGAACCCTTATGCACCCTTATGAACGCTTATGAACCCTCCTGGTTCTGACATATAGGCTTCTGTGATTCCAGGTTGAATCTGATTAATTTCCTTGTCTGTTTTTGTTAGAAGGGTTTGCTTCTCTGCTCTGGGTTTGTCTCTGACTCTGAGGTTGAATCCTGCTTTCTGAGGTTTGCCGAAATCAGGGAAAAACCTGGAAAAAAAGGCCTGAATTTCACCCGCTTCCAGTTCATTTTAAGATCCTTTTGTTTGTTTTTAGGTACTTTAGACCCATTTTTTTGCTCACTTTTGGCCTCCTTTGTTGTTCTTATCCCTCTTTTATCTTGTGTTATTTTGTCTTTTTCCTTTAAGTCAATTTAATTCAGTCTTTGTCAGATCAGCCTCTTCTTCCTTCATCCTCTTCCCTAATTTATAGGGAAATATTCTCGATATTCAGCCATTTTCTTGGTTTATAGTCTTGGTTTTACACAGATGAGTCATTTTTTTGCCTTATCTGGTTTTGTTGGTAATTTTCCACCGTGATTCTCTTTGATAGATCTCAGTCATAGATGATTTCTCTGTTGTATTTTGTGTTTTGAACGGTGAAAACAGAGCACACATTTGTATCTGTATGATGCCCATAGTGACAGTTTGAGCTTCTGTGTTACTCAGCTTGACCTAGCTTGACCTAGCTTAACCTCATAGCCGTTTCTGGCCGAATCGCTATTTTCCAAGTCTTTCTTTGTGTCCTGCAGTCTGCAGCCAGCTCCGTTTAGCATCAGCTTAAAGTCCCGGGCAGGTTTTACAGAGCGCCGATGGTCTTTTGGGGCTGTTCTCTTGCCTGTTAGTGTCATTTGTGGCCCACGAGGCAAAGCTGCTCTCTGTTTTTGGGAGTGGTCACGAGGCACTTTGGCAGCTTTCTAATGTGCTGCTGACCCCTGGAGGACGCATGAACATTAAGAATAAACACATCAGAGCAGTGTTTTTCAACCACTGTGCCTCGGCACACTAGTGTGCCGCGAGTGATGGTCAGGTGTGCCGTAGAAAATCATCCTATTTCACCTAATTGGTCTAAACAGATTGTTTGATAAGGAATTAATAATCTGGAAATAATATGCCATTTTTCAGTGTCTGTGCTGTTCGAGTGACTGGTGGCGTAATCATGTACTAATTCCTTATGACTAGATGACTAGAGCAATTTGAGAGAAGAAATATAAAATATGATAAATACATTTTTGTGTTTATTTGATTCCTATTCGAGACACTTAAGGTAAGATAAGAATAAAATAAGAATAACTATAGTGTTACTATAGGCGGCTACAGATTTGTTTGACATTTTTCAATTAAAAAATGTACCTTGGCTCAAAAAAGGTTGAAAAACACTGCATCAGAATAATCCTAAAACCTGCTTTTGCTCTGTTTAAAGTGGCATCCTGCAGCACATTAAAGCTTATGAAGAAACTGTGGACTTTACATACTCACAGAGAGAGGAGCTGACGGCTGTGGTGGAGGCCGCTGGACACAGGTAGAGCATTTCTCTCCATTTTTCCAAATGTAAATACAGTAAATAAGATCAAAATGTTCAGCTCTTCCTCCTCCATCTGTGAGCCCTCTCCAGCTGTGTGTCCTTTCTCTAAGGAGCCTCCAGGAGCAGCTCTCCAGGCCTCTGGAAGGGCATAAAATGTTTTTTTATTGGCAAGAAATGTGAACAAATTATGTGTCTGCTGCCAAAAAAGAGCCTAAAGATCCACTTTAAAATTCTGCTTTGCTAAGGACGTTCATCCCTTGAGTTAGAGGCCCTTTTCTGCCAGGATGATTCATATCTGGTGAAACAGAAATACATTTTTGATATTAATAATTTATTACTATGCGATAAGTCAAGATTATTTTTTGTGTAGTCTTCTGCCCCCTGTTATCAGGTGTATCTGATTGTGTACAATAGGATTTTGAGCAAAGTTTTTACCATTAAATTATGCAAAAGGAGTCAGACGCAAAACATTTCAGAAACCGTATGTATCAAATACGACACATTTGGCATTACAGGGTTAAAATGATTGAATAAGCTACAAAATCTCGTTGTATTGTTGCTATTTCAACATGACCAGAACTTGAACGACTAAATTCCTGTTGAAGGGACTCCCGTTTGCTTGTTTTCCAGTTTGCTGGGGGGGGGCCGTGTGTGCTACCTGGGCTGGGGCTCCCCAGGTGTGCTGGGCCTTATTGATGCCAGTGAGTGTGTCCCCACGTTCGGAGCAGGTGAAAAACCACGCAGCTTTTGTTTGCACACGACAGAATTCCTCAAATATTTCTGTAAAAATGTCGGTTTTTACGCTATGCTCCTTTGATCTGTGTGTTAGACTATGAAGACATCCGAGGATTCATCAGTGGAGGATACAAAGAGCTGAGCAACAATGAAGGCCCCTTAACTTCTCTGGTATGTGAGGAGAAAGAATAAATTAACATTTGTTTAAATGGAGCAGCAGCCAGCAGAATAAATGAAGTAATTAGAGAATCATACAAAGCGAGAGTTTAGACAATCGAGTGCGCTGACTCACATTTATCTCTGAGGAAAAACACTGTCAGCACCTCTGTAGCAACAAAAAGGAGATTTCTGCCCAGGCCTGGCTGTGTAGTTTTAACAAAACAAGTGAAAAAAGGGATTCAAGTGTCTGAAATGAGGTTAAATCCAACAAAAAAACAAGGAAAAGCTGTGAAAAAAGGTATTCAAGTGTCTGAAATGAGGTGAAATCCAACTATAAAACAAGGAAAAGCTGTGGAAAAAGGGATTCAAGTGTCTGAAATGAGGTGAAATCCAACTATAAAACAAGGAAAAGCTGTGAAAAAAGGGATTCAAGTGTCTGAAATGAGGTGAAATCCAACAAAAAAAACAAAGAAAAGCTGTGAAAAAAGGTATTCAAGTGTCTCAAATGAGGTGAAATCCAACAAAAAACGAGGAAAAACTGTGAAAGCGTGTGAGGCTGTTCTGTGGTTTCTGGGTCAGAGTTTGAGCAGCTTGTTTTCAAAAGGCACAACATTAAAAAAAGGGCACTTTTCTGTATTGTTTTGAAGGATAATGTCAATTCTCACCTAAAT